ATTGGGGTGGAGGGGATTTAATCAACATTACGCTCATTCCATCTGCCACATCATTAATGCAACCTTAAATGACTAGAACCTTCAGCAGGTCCCTGGGGCACTCCACAGCTGCCTACTTTTAATCACTACCTTCTCTGGGAGCTATTTTGACTAATTCCCTACCTGTGAGCTCAAGGCCAACAGATTAAAATTAATTCAGTGATACAATTACTGAGCTAAGATATGTCATTACCATTTCATTCTCTCCATAAACTGTGCTAATCATGTATTTTTTCTGAAAAGTAATTTTTCAATTCAACTTTAATGGCACTTTATCAATGACCGTCAAATTTACCCTTGTTCTAACATAGTTGTATTTGAGTCATAATTTTATTGTGAACCTCTGAGTATTTGGGTATTTTGATTGCCTTCCTTTTCACTGACTCACATGTCCCCACAATTTAGATGTGGTAATCCTGCCAAATGTCCCTTACTCCTACGATAATTTCAGATAGCCTATCTCAAACAGGGCTTTGATTTCTACTGAGTTCCATTTATTCATTTATTTATTCATAAACTCGGCAAATATTTTTTCTCTGCAGAAACATAGCACTAGGCACTACAGGACTTACAGATGGGATGAAGGCAGTTTCTGCCCTTGAGAAAGCTCACAAACTAGTGCCGGAGATGGACTAGAGACCAGGTAGAGAGAGGCAGCTGCTGCAATAAAGGCCAAAAAAAAATAACAGTTACAGGAAAGTAAAAGAGAGAACCTACTAATTTTTCCTTTGGTGAATTAAAACGTTTTATGGAAGGGCTACCATCTGAACAGGCTTGAGTGTAGGAGAATTTGGATAACTGGCCATAAAGAAGTGTGAGCTCTGAGTAGGTGCAAGAGGAACGGGGTGTGACGTGCATGGCGTAACTGTACGACCCACGCTAGCCTGCGATGCCTTGGACAGCGGTCTTTAAGTAATCGTACTTGAAAAGCAAACCGAATCTTTAGATCAATGTTCAGGAAAATACAGTGCGGGGAACGCAGGTGTGCTGTGTTCTGACTACACAGCAAAAACTTCATTTTGTCCTCTTTCGTAATTCCTCTCCTCACTCTCCCACCGGAATGGCCGTGCATGGCAGCTGCTCCCAAGGTCTCTTCTCACACTCACAGGCCTCCAACACATCCTTCGAAACCAAGCTATGTACTTGTTTTTGCCTCTCTCTCCTTTTCTAGCTCCAGTCTTTCTTCCATCAGGAGCCTTCTTTCTGCTGCAAATCCATCTAGATGAGCTTCTCCAGTTCTCTACCTCATTCATTACCCTCTTTTACTCTGTAGAGCTCTAGGAACCCATGAGACAATTCCAACCCCTAATTGTCTGGAAGAGGAGAAGAGCCAAGGATATCGTTTTGCTGATAATGTTTACCTCTTACATTAGAAAACATACACGTCTGCTTTGTTTGTGTGTTTTTTAATGAAGGCAGAAAATCAACAAATAATTTGATACAGAGCGGCAGAATGGACTATGAAAGGAGGTAGCTGGACATAAGGCCGCAAAGATAGCAGTAAGAGCTAATATGTGTGGAGCATTTACCACGTACCAGGCAGTGTTTGGCTTTGGGCCTGGCTAGAAAATCTGAAATTCATTCCACAGCTCTTAGGAGCCCTGAAAGGTGATTAATGAGAAAGCAGACATGTTCAAATTGTACTATAAGAAGGTCTATCTGTAGGATTAATGCATGTTAAATGGATTGGATGGAAGCAAAGATGAAAGGTAGAAATACCAACAAAGAAGCTAAAAAGTCCAGTTAAGAAGTGCTCAGGACCCATTATGTTGGGCTTTTCTGGCTGTAAGAGAGACGTGTGCAGGCCACTTTAATATCAGATGTTTGTTCAAAAGATATGCAAAGATTAGGAAAGAACTAGACCTGAACACCACCAGGATCCAAGACAGCTCTGGGGATCCAAGACTTTCCATTTTTCTCTCCCACGGTCTCTCCCCCACACTTCATTGTGTCTCTTCCAATCTCCTCTTAGGCTCCAAGGCCATCCTGCCCTTAGCTTCATATTTAGGCCACAGAAAGGGGTTTCTCCACGATGGCCAGGCTGGTCTTGAACTCCTGACCTCAGGTGATCCACCCACCTTGGCCTCCCAAAGTGCTAGGATTACAGGCGTGAGCCGCCGCACCTGGCCAAATCACTTACTTTCTTAATGCCTTAGTTTCTTCGTCATTCAAACAGAAATAAAAGTAACAGCCCTTTAGAATTCAGCATTCTTCAGAATGACTAGCCACATTTAGTTGACATGAGATTTCACTTCTGTGCCACTTCCGGTTAACTGAGAATAACAGTAGCTTATATGTGTAATTAGTTTGCAGATCAAGTTAATATCCACTTGACTTGATCCTCACAAGAATCCCCTAAAGTAGATGATATAGTTCGACTCTGTGTCCCCACCCAAATCTCATCTTGAATTGTACTCCTGTAACTCCCATGTGTTGTGGGAGGCACCTGGTGGGAGATAATTGAGTCATAGTGGTGGTTTCCCCCATAGTGTTCTCATGGTAGTAAGTAAGTTTCACAGGATCTTATGATTTTATCAGGGACTTCTGCTTTTGCATCTTTCTCATTCTCTTGCCACCACCATGTAAGAAGTGCCTTTCACCTCCCACATGATTCTGAGGCCTCCCCAGCCATGTGAAACTGTAAGTCCACTGAAACCTCTTTTTCTTCCCAGTCTTGGGTATGTCTTTATCAGCAGCATGAAAATGGACTCATACAGTAAATTGGTACCAATAGAGTGGGGTGCTGCTGAAAAGATACCTGAAAATGTGGAAGTGACTTTGGAACCGGGTAACAGGCAGAGGTTGGAACAGTGTGGAGGGCTCAGAAGAAGACAGGAAAATGTGAGAAAATTTGGAACTTCCTAGAGACTTATTGAATGGCTTTACCTAAAATGCTGATAGCGATATGGACAATAAGGTCCAGGCTGAGGTGGTCTCAGATGGAGATGGGAAACGTGTCGGGACTTGGAGCAGAGGTGACTCTTTTTATGTTTTAACAGAGAGACTGGTGGCATTTTGCCCCTGCCATAGAGATTTGTGGAACTTTGAACTTGAGAGAGATTATTTGGGTATCTAGTAGAAGCAATTTCTAAGCAGCAAAGCATTCAAGAGGTAACTTGGGTGCTCTCAAAGGTTTTCAGTTTTATCAGGGAAGCAGAGCATAAAAGTTCAGAAAATTTGCAGCCTGATGATGTGATAGAAAATAAAAACCCATTTTTTGAGGAGAAATTCAAGCTGGCTATAGAAATTTGCAAAAGTAACAAGGGGCCAAATGCTAACCCCAAGACAATGGGGAAAATGTCTCCAGGTCATGTCAGAGGTCTTCATGGCAGCCCCTCCCATCACAGGCCTGGAAGCCTAGGAGAAAGTTTCATGGGCCAGGAAGGTCCCTATGCTGTATGACTTGGTGTCCTGTAACCCAGCTGTGGCAGCTGTGGCCAAAAGGGGCTCAGGACATGGCTTCAGAGAGTGCAAGCCCCGAGCCTTGGCAGCTTCCATGTGGTGTTGAGCCTGTGAGGGGACAGAAGTCAAGAACTGGAGTTTGGGAACCTCCATCTAAATTTCAGAAGATGTAGGGAAATGCCTGGACACCCAGGCAAATGTTTGCTGCAGGAGTGGGGCCTCATGGAGAACTAATCCTAGGGCAGTGCAGAAGGAAAATATGAGGTCAGAGCCCTCACACAGAGTCCCTACTGGGGCACTGCCTAGTGACGCTGTGAGAAGAGGACCACCATCCTCCAGACTCCAGAATGGTAGATCCACTGAGAGCTTGCACTGTTCACCTGGAAAAGCCACAGATACTCAATGCTAGCCTGTGAAAGCAGCCAGGAGGGAGGCTGTACCCTGCAAAGCCACAGGGGAAAAGCACCCAAGACCATGGTAACCCACCTCTTGCATCAGCATGACATGGATGTGAGACTTGGGGTTAAAGTAGATCATTTTGGAGCTTTAAAATTTTGGACTTGCACAGGCCCTGTAACTACTCTGTTTTGGCCAGTCTCTCCCATTTGGAACAGCTATATTTACCCAGTGCCTATGCCCCCATTGTTGCTAGGAAGTAGCTAGCTGCTTTTGATTTTACAGGCTCATAGGTGGGAGGCCTTGCTTGCCTCAGATGAGACTTTGGACTATGGACTTTTGGAATAATGCTGAAGTGAGTTAAAACTCTGGGGGACTGTTGGGAAGAGATGATTGGTTTTGAAACGTGAGAGCATGAGATTTGGAGGGGCCAGGGGCAGAATAATATGGTTTGGCTCTGTGTCCCCACCTAAATCTCATCTTGAATTGTACTCTCATAATTCCTGTGTGTTGTGGGAGGGACCCAGTGGGAGATTATTTGAATCACCGGGGCAGTTTTCCCCATACTGTTGTCATGATAGTGAATAATTCTCATGAGATCTGAGGGGTTTATCAGGGGTTTCTGCTTTTGCATCTTTCTCATTTTTCTCTGGCTGCCACCATGTAAGAAGTGCCTTTCACCTCCCACCATGATTCTGAGCCCCCAGCCATGTAAAACTCTCAGTCCAATTAAACCTCCTTTTCTTCCCAGTCTCAGGTATATCTTTATCTGCAGTGTGAAAATGGACTAATACAGTAGGTAAGACATTGTTACCTCCAGTTTTCTAAGATCCAAAGAGGTTACATGACTTATTGAAGGTTACATGGCTATTATGTGACAAAGTCAAGACTTGAATTTTCATCTTCAAACCCCAAGTCCAATATATTCTCAAGGTTTGGGTTACTTGGTCTTACATAAGCTGTTATATATGACAGATCTGCTATATACATCAAAATGATTATCTTCCTGCTTTCTCTTCTTGTCCTCTTTTTCTTAATGCCTCTCATGCTCTTCTATATTTTTAATTGATCACAGAATTCTCTGTCTGGCTTTCAGCAAGGAAGGGTTGGTTGCAGAGGTCCAAGGCTTCCCTTAGCGTTGATCCTTGCTTCCTGACTTGCAGGGAGACACTCCATCACAGTCACTACTCTCACCTCAGCCGGGAACATTGGCGAGGATGGAATCCTGAGCTGCACTTTTGAACCTGACATCAAACTTTCTGATATCGTCATACAATGGCTGAAGGAAGGTGTTATAGGCTTGGTCCATGAGTTCAAAGAAGGCAAAGATGAGCTGTCGGAGCAGGATGAAACGTTCAGAGGCCGGACAGCAGTGTTTGCTGATCAAGTGATAGTCGGCAATGCCTCTCTGCGGCTGAAAAATGTGCGACTCACAGATGCTGGCACCTACAAATGTTATATCATCACTTCTAAAGGCAAGGGGAATGCTAACCTTGAGTATAAAACTGGAGGTGAGTTACTTTTGGAGAGAGAGTTTTTAAAGCACCGAAAGACATTTGAGGCTAAAGATTCTGAGTTGCTGATGAAATATCATGTTGTGACCAATATCAGACAATGGCGCTCACAATTCTGCTAGCAGCTATTTTTGCCATGTTATGGCCGAGACCCGCAGCAAGCCCCAAAAGTCACCAACTGGAAGAGAGACCATAAAAATCTTTTGTTCTGGGTTCTTGCTGCTTCTGAATTTCCAGGTGTATTCTCTATTCAACAAAATAAGTGTCATCTCTTTTATGGTAGCCCCTGGTACAACTAATAAGAGCAGTCTAGCCTGGGACATTTCCACGCTAAGTAGGCCCAAGCCCCGTCCTGAAATCAGCACCTCCAGAGACTCATGACAGTGGGCGCATTTTAGAAGTTCAAAGGGAGCGAACCAAAACAAAAACGATATTGTTTATAAACTCATCAGTTCCCCTTCCCCTGCAACAATGAAATCCACCCTTTCTTGCCAACCCAACTTAACATATGTTTTCTGAATTTATATACCAGGGACTCAGATACTGTGAGGAGCAAAAAGACGATGAAACAGATTTCCTCTACCCTTGCAGAGCCTCGTAGCATAGATCTCACAGAGTTAAGGGTCAGAACAGAGATAATAAATCTGAACATGATAATACTTAGTAAAGTGTATTACATGGTTTAGGATAAATTTAAAAAGAGTGATTCAGAGGAAGAGAGAGATACCATTCAAATGCATAGGAGGGGAGGGATGGGGAAGCCCCCTGGAGAAGCTGGCATTTGAGGTAGCCGTGAAGGATAGGCAGAAACCGGGCCCTATCAGCCTAAGCTAGTCTGCACAGGCCTTTTTTGCACATTTCATAACATGTATGTGCAATGATTCAAAGCTCAGGTCTAGAATCAGACCTGTGTAAGTACAGTGACCTGGGAAAAGCAGTCTCTCCAAGCCTCAGTTTCTTCACCATAAAATGGGGTCATGTCACCCAGGCACAGTGGATCATGCCTGTAATCCCAGCACTTTGGGAGTCCGGGGCAGGCAGATCACCTGAGGTCGGGAGTTGGAGACCAGCCTGACCAACATGGAGAAACCCTGTCTCTACTAAAAATACAAAAGTAGCCAGGTGTGGTGGCTGGCACATGCCTATAAATCCCAGCTACTCGGGAGGCTGAGGCAGGAGAATTGCTTGAACCTGGGAGGCAGAGGTTGCGGTGAGCAGAGATTGCACCATTGCACTGCAGCCTGGGCAACAAGAACTAAACTCTCTTTTAAGAAAAAAAAAAATGGAGTCATCAAAGAGAAACCGAAGCCAACTGAAAAAGCTTCCAGTGGCAAAGCTGGAACGATTTAAGCAACAAAATAAATAACCTAGTGTTGAATTCTTCATTTCTTTAAATAAGTATGAAGTCATGTTTTAACATGCTGCTAACATGACTTCATACTTATTTAAAGAAACGAAGGATATGAAACCAATTCCCCTTACAGATGATTCCAAATAATTTATTTAGATCTCTTCCCCTCCCGAAAGTGGAACTTGAAACCTTCCCCACCCAACTCAGGGTATACTGGACTTAATGAAGTCCAGCTTCCAAAGAAATCCAGCAAACACTGCTTCAGCCAGGTGATCCAGCCTACCATCATTAATAAGCCATGTTAAGAGCGGGTACCTTCTGACATGATGTGATGAGAAGGGCACTTTACCTCCCATGCTCTTCCTCTCCCAAACCTGTAACCTCAGTCTAATCATGAGGAAAACATCAGACTAATTCCATCAGAGAGCCATCCTGCAAAATACCTAACCAGTGCTCCACAAAACTGTCAAGGTCACGGAATATACAGAAAAACTGGGAAAACGTGACAGGCCAGAAGAACCTCAGAGGACATGATGACTAAAAGCATGGTGGTGTTGTGAATGGAATCCTGGAACAGAAAAAGAACACTAGTGGGGAAACTGTTGAAATACAAATCAAATCTGGAATTTAGGTGATAGTAACATACCAATGACAGTTTTCATTTTTGACTAATGCACCCTGCTTATTTACAATGTTCACATTAGAGGAAACCGGGTGAGGCCTATGCAAGAACTCTATACCTTCTATGCAACATTTTTACATCGAAGTTATTTCAAAATTAGAAGTTTTGATTTCTTAAAATGGGGATTATCATATTCACAGGAGTGTTGTGAGGATCAGATGAAATAAGGTCTGGCAGAGGCCGGGCGCGGCGGCTCACGCCTGTAATCCCAGCACTTTGGGAGGCCGAGGCGGGTGGATCAGGAGGTCAAGAGATCGAGACCATCCTGGTCAACGAGGTGAAACCCCGTCTCTACTAAAAATACAAAAATTAGCTGGGTATGATAGTGCGCGCCTGTAGTCCCAGCTACTCGGGAGGCTGAGGCAGGAGAATTGCTTGAACCCAGGAGGTGGAGGTGGCGGTGAGCTGAGAGAGTGCCATTGCACTCCAGTCTGGGTAACAAGAGCGAAACTCCTTCTCAAAAAAAAAAAAAAAAAAAAAGAAGAAGTAAGGTCTGGAATACAGTACTGAGCAGTGTACCCGCAATGAATGGTGGTTCATTGTCATGTAAACCTAGTTTCCCACATCATCTCCCAAGAGTGTGTTCCCTGCCTGCTCCCAGCATGTGAGACTTGTCTCCCCTGCTAGATAATGGACTCCTTCAGGGTTAGGCAAGGGCTTTCCTTTTACTACTTACTCAGCACCAGCTCAGTCCCAGGTAAAGGAAGACACTAAATAAATTAATAAACTATATTTCGCCATTTTGGCCCAATAAAAAGCCCAGGCTTTAACATTTTTCCACAAGTGTCTCTCTGCCTGGATAGAGGGGGAAGCTAAGTCTTAATTTCAAAATGCAGTTCCCTCTCCAGTGGGGAGAATTGCCTTGGAGGAAAACAATGTCTATTTCTATCCCTGGATAGCAGAACTGGACAGTCTTTACCCAAGCACACTCCAAATCTCTGTGATGAGAAACCTTGTGGATGGAATTTCTGTGGGTGACGGATGAATGCTGTTTGTTTCTTCTTTCTCCTTCTCCCTCCCCACCCTAACTTTATCCTCCAGGGAGAGAAATACATAAAATCCAGACACTTCACAGATCTCTAGGAAAATGCCTGATTTCCCTAAGGGATAAGCTGTTTTATGACCACTGAAGTTCCTGTTACTTGGAGAAAATTGTCTCTTGTAACAGTAACACACCTAGAATTTAGGTCCTTGGGATTTGCAATGTTGCCCAAAGGGTTGTGGTGTATAGCAGTGCTGTGAGCAAGTAATTATTCCCACCTACAATACAATGGGCCGTACACAGACGGACCTCTGGGAAAGTACTGAGTAGCTTCAATGGTTAAAAATGACTGCATTTTTAAGACCCAGCACTTCAAAGGCTATATTGTCTTATGTGTCTGACCTTGACATCTGCCCTTTTGACCTTTGACCCTGCAGCCTTCAGCATGCCACAGGTGAATGTGGACTATAATGCCAGCTCAGAGACCTTGCGGTGTGAGGCTCCCCGATGGTTCCCCCAGCCCACAGTGGTCTGGGCATCGCAAGTGGACCAGGGAGCCAACTTCTCAGAAGTCTCCAATACCAGCTTTGAGCTGAACTCGGAGAACGTGACCATGAAGGTTGTGTCTGTGCTCTACAATGCTACGATCAACAACACGTACTCCTGTATGATTGAAAACGACATTGCCAAAGCAACAGGGGATATCAAAGTGACAGGTGCGTTCCTCCATGCCTTCTATATGGACTTACTAGGGAAAGAGTAAAATCTAAACTAAAATTCAATTTCATTAATAGAGACCTACCAAGGCACAAAAATCTCTAGCGTCATCTTCACTAAGACTTCGATCACTCAATTTCAGTTGAGATTGTATTACATAAGGGAAAGCCCAACACAAAGCAATATGTTTGGCATATAGGTCAAAGAGAGCAATTAGGGGTCATCGTGCATGCCTTCTCTCTGACTGGTTGTCTGGAGAACGGTGTTTAGGGTTCCGAGGCTCTGTGTAACTCAGTAGGACTACTGTGGTCTAGCAGTTGGGAGTGATAATTAATCACTTGACACCTTTGACATGTTCAGCTGGACTTCAAGCCCTCCAGAGCTTAGGCTGGAAACCAAGGTTTGGTTCCACCCTGCCTTGGAGAAGGCTGTGGATCTGAAGACTGAATGTCTGAACTCTGGCTTAGTTGTATTCATCCCTCATGGGACTGACTCGTGATCCCAGTGATACTGGCTCAGGATTAATCTGAATCCCCTAGTTGGAAGTGGTCTCCCAGCACCCTAGCTGAGAACCGGCTGAGAAGACCCAGCACCCTAGTCTCCCCACAGTGCTCTAGTGCATGCAGAAGCTTAGGTTGAGCTAGTATCAGGGAAATGCATAGACTGAATTTTGACTTTTAAGGCCACCCTTCCTGGGACTAAACTGGATTCGAGCTGTATTGAAAGGAGTATGGCAGGAGGCTGCTGTTTGAATCAAGCCTAGCGTTGGGCACAAGATACCTCACACATTATAAGTACCCCATAAATGTTTGCGGAATCTAACTGAGTAAATCATATTCTTATGATGTTTTAATTTAAAATTATACATATGAAGCCAAAATTATCTACAAGTCTGATGTATCAATTTAAAAAATAAATTATACACACACACACACATAAAAAAGTAACCTATGGAATGGAAGAAAATATTGATAAATCATTTATCTAAATAAGGGGTTTAAATCCAGAATATATGAAGACCTCTTCCAACTCAACAACAACAAAAATCAAATAATCTCATTTAAAAATGGGCAAAGCACTCAAAGAGACATTCAACCAAGATGATATAAAAGTAGCTAAAAAGCGTATGAGAAGATGTTCGGCATCACTAATCACTGGAGCAATGCAGACCGAAAGCACAGTGAGATATCACCTACTGCCCATTGGGGTGGCTACTCAAAAACCAAACAAAATAAAACGAGAAAAGAAATAACATGTGGTGAGGATGTGGAAACACTGGAACCCTCACGCACTGTTGGCGGGACTGCAAAATGGTGCAACTGCTATAGAAAATAGTATAAAGTGTTATCGAAACAATAAAAACCCGGGCTACCATGTGATTTAACAGTCCTGCTTCTGGGTATGTCTCCAGAAGAATTCAGGGTCTCAATGAGATCTTTGCACAGCCACATTCACAGTGGCACTATTTGCAAAAGTCAAGAGGTAGAATCAACCCAAAATGTCCATCAGTAGATGACTAGATAAATAAAATATGGTATACACATACAGTAGAATACTATTCGGGCTCAAAAAGGAAGGAAATACTATTTTTTTTTTTTTGAGACGGAGTTTTGCTGTTGTTACCCAGAGTGGAGTGCAATGGCGCGATCTCGGCTCACCGCAACCTCCCCCTCCTGGGTTCAGGCAATTCTCCTGCCTCAGCCTCCTGAGTAGCTGCGATTACAGGCATACGCCACCGTGCCCAGCTAATTTTTTGTATTTTTGGTAGAGACGGGGTTTCACCATGTTGACCAGGATGGTCTCAATCTCTTGACCTTGTGATCCACCTGCCTTGGCCTCCCAAAGTGCTGGGATTACAGGTGTGAGCCACCGCGCCCGGCCAGAAAATACTATTTTATGCTACAACAAGAATGAACTTTTGGGACATTATGCACATGAAATAAGCCAGTCACAAAAAGACAAATACTATATAATTTAAACAAGGTGGCTAAAGCCGTCAAATGCACAGAAACAGAAAGTGGAATGCTGCTTAGCAGGTGCCAGGGTAGAGGAGCTGAAGGAGAAAGAGGTTTTTGTTCAATGAATATAGAGCTTCAGATTTGCAAAATGAAAAAGTTCTAATCTGTTTTATGACAATGTGGATATACTTAACAGCACTGAATTCTACACTTAAAATGGTTAATATGGGAAATTTTGTTGTGTTTTTTACTGCAATTTTTAAAGATATCTAATTTTAAAAGTACGTATATGCGAGCGAGAGCTTTGCACCATCTTGAGGAACAAACTGGGGACACCTCCTGTTTAGGACTCTTAGTTGCCTGTAACAGAAAACCAGTGTAAGTAAACTGAGGCAAACGAAAATGTATGAAGAATGTTGTGGAACCACAGACAGGAAGAGCAGTTGACTTCAGGAACAGCTGGAAGCAGGAACTTAAAGCCTATTGGGATTGTCTCTCATTTCTACTTAATTCTCTCTTTGCTCTCTCTTGTTTTAGTCCACATGGCAACATATGGTCACCAAGCATTCCTGTATTTTAAAATCTCTTTTACTCAAGAGAATGATGAGTCTGAACCTCCATCTATCAGTCTCATTCTACATTCCTAAGAATGCCTTTGACTCAACTTGGGTCCGCTGCCCATATCTAGGCCAATGAGGCAGTATCTGATGAAAGGCCTTCCCAGAAAGGAGGAGGGACTGAAGTACTGGCCATTTAAAACAGTGGGTGCTGACCGCAGCATCTCAGTCCAGATCTCAGTAAAAAGCTCCTGTGTAAATGAGGCCTTCTGGTAGTGAGGGCCATAACTGAACAGCACATAGACCTGGAGCACATCTTTTATTCAATCAACACGTCTTTCTTCTTTACATGTTTGTTGGATACATAAAAATAAGTGTTTGAAGTTTCAGTCTAGGACGAAATACAACTTCTGATAGCTCAAAATGTTAAAAGGAGCAGAATTTCTTATTGCTATACATGAAGTAGGCGCTCCATTTCAACAATTCAGCAGGGCTGTGGGATTTACATCCTGCGTTCTGTGACTATACTGCTAATTAAGCCATTCGTTTAACAAGTATCTATTGTGTGCCAAGTATGTTCAGAGCACTTTCTTAAGCCCCCTGAGATGCTGAAATGAATAGCGTTAAGTATCAAAAGAGAAGTTAATCACAGTGTAGATTTAGTACCTATGGGAAAGAGTTGTTAATTATGACTGAAGTGGATTCATAGATAAGGCAGAGTTCAGGCTGGGTTTTGAAGAAGAAAAAAATGGCTTGGATAAAATGGGAAGACGTGAAGTCAGGAGCTCACAGTAACAGCCTGGGGGAGAAATTATGAGAGTATTAACCGGGGCAGAGGCAATGGGAAAGAAAAGGGAGAAGAATCACAAGTTGCTGAAACAAAATAACGTCCAGGCCTCGGTGATGCAAACGTGAAAGTCAAGAGAAGTCACAGGTCGAAATGGGTCTGGTATTTCTACCCAGAATACTCAGAAGGTTGGTGATGCTACCGAGAAAAAACAAACAGAAAAACCACAACACGTGTGGGGAGTAGGTGAGGGCTTTAGAGGTGTCGAGCTGAAAATGCCCATGGTGTATGCAGGTAGAGATGCCCAGTGCTTAGCGCAATACCCAGCCTGTGATAGGTTCTGGGAGGATGCTGCACCCTTACTCCATACGTTTCCTTTCATGGCAAGGGATCCCCACCGGTGTGATCATGTTAGCCTCTCTCTTCCTCCCTCTTTCACTCTTCCCAGAGAATGAGGAATCAATCTGTCTGATTGATGAGTATAAGAGGAGCAGCTGGACATAAGGAGCTCCTTTTCTCTTCGTTTTTGCTCTGTCTCAGGAAGCTTATGGACATTCTGCTCTGCTCCTCCACGCCATCATTGTTCAGGGGTAGAATCTGCTTCTGCAGGAGACTCGCGCCAATCTGGTTCTGTCTGATGGTAAAAAGTCTAGGCTGTACCCCTCTTGCCTGCCTACAAAGCCTCATTCTCTATTAACAGATTTTCAGCACTGAAGGTGATATTTTGATCTTCCAGTTGCCTTATATTTTTTTCCTTCTCTTTAATTGGTTCAGAACTAAGCTGGGGAAGGAACCGTTATTTATTGGACTCCTTTGAACCCCAATAGTACGTACTCAGAAATATTTACTGAATGATTATGTTTTCAAATGACATATCTAGCAGCAACTGGAAATCTAGATGTGTGACTGACTCAGGACAGAGTTCAAGCTAAGGAGGTAGACTCAGCAATTACCAGCACGAAAGTGACGCGTCTTAGGCCCGAGTGATGTTGGTTTTATTGCTGTTTTTACAGCCAATACTTATCGAGTGCTTATTACGGACCAGACACTGTTCTAAGAGCTTTGTGTGCATTAACTCATTAATCCTCATAAGAGCCACATGAAGTAGGTTATTGGTATTTTAGCCCTATTTATAGATGAAGAAACTAGAGCACATATATTGAGTGACTTGCCTAAAGTCACACGGCTGGTTAAGTGACCTGAAATGAAATAAAAGAGACGGGATTATCTAGGGAGGAAATCGAGCAAAAGAAGTATTATTTTATTTCTTTACATCTACCTTTCTCTGCTTCAGAATGAGAATGATACTTCCCGGACACTGTATGTTGGTGTGACGAAAGCGAATGTAATGACATGGATGCTGTAAAGATCACTGCCTGGGGGGGGAGCTGGGGAGGGATAGCCTGGGGAGAAATGCCAAATGTGGGTGAAGGGGAGGAAGACAGCAAAACACACTGCCACGTGTGTACCTATGCAACTATCTTGCGTGTTCTGCACATGTACCCCAAAACCTAAAATGCAATTAAAAAAAAAAAAGATCACTGCCTAGAGGACAAATGTGTTTCAAGCCAGGAACTGGCCGTGACTGTTCGTTTAGCCCATTCTTTATTTGGGAACCAGTAACAATCTATTGGTATAGTTTCTGTTTGGCTGAGTGCTCGCTGGAGTGGACCACAGAATGGATTCTTTTTGGAGGGGTGAAACAGAGTCTCCTCTGTTGCCCAGACTGGAGTACAGTGATTCAATATCGGCTCACTCCAACCTCCGCCTCCTGGGTTCAAACGATTCCTGTGCTTCAGCCCCTTGAGTAGTTGGGACTATAGGCACATGCCACTGGGCTCAGCTAACCTTTGTATTTTTAGTAGAGATGGGGTTTCACCATATTGGTCAGGATGGTCTTGAACTCCTGACCTCTTGATCCACCGTCTCGGCCTCCCAAAGTGCTGGGATTATAGGCGTGAGCCACCATGGCTGGCCAGAATGGAATTTTCTTTGAAGAAAGGGAAAGCTGTACACTTTAAAGCCAGTTATGGAAAGGTAGGCAAAGAGGTAAAAAAAAATTGCCTGCATTAGGAACAACTTGTTCTGTTTTTCAGGTACTTTTCTTTGCTAGCCAGTCACGTGAAGAAGACATCCAGCTTCTCTTATATGACCCTCAACTTTTTCTCTCCCTTCACAGAATCTGAGATCAAAAGGCGGAGTCACCTACAGCTGCTGAACTCGAAGGCTTCTCTGTGCGTCTCTTCTTTCTTTGCCATCAGCTGGGCACTTCTGCCTCTAGCCCCTTACCTGATGCTAAAATAATGCACCTCGGCCACAAAAAAGCACGCAAAGTCATTGTTACAGCAGGTGAGACTGATTCTATAGGTACTTGTGCTCCTAACGAGAGTTGGGTAGCCTTCAGCACCAGCCATAGAAAGAAACATTCAACGACTCCAGGGCTGTGACATTATTTCCACTAGTACTGAGAAAGGTAATCATTTCTTAGGTCAGCAAACAGCATAGACCTCATCCACAGACCCACAGGAAGAATAACTCCATACAATTCAAGTATTTGTGTAAATTCAGATACTTTTTAAGTTACTCAGTCATCCATGAAGGCAGAATAACTTACTGAAGAGAGATATTTAGCCCTGACTATAATAATGACATGCATATCATGGTTCACATAAGTGACCCCTCCCTGCCGCTCCAGAAGGCCCCTGTGGACAGAAGAGCTGGCAGATGACTCACCAACTAGGCCTCCTGCTGAGACTTCCTTCTCACTTCAGTCCTGGCTCCAATTCCTGTTAGGATCTTTCCTTCTGAATATTCTTCTGCATATGAAATGCGTATAAAGCTGAGGTCACGAAGTTCCAGTTGACACTCCCATATTACTCAGCGGCACCCCCACCAAGCCTCCAAGCTTACAGCCTCAGAGCTGCCGCTGTCTCCCCTGTCCCTCACGTCAGTTTGTTGTCAACCCCCGCCTATCGCATTTCCCCATGTCGCCTCTCAGATTGACCCTAATCCAGCCTTCATCATCTCACACCCAGACTGGTTTTGAAACACGGTACCTGGTCCTTCCTTTCCCTATTTTAGCTGATAGGAAACACGGTGTCAGAATGGAAGTATTCTGAAATGATTTCTTCAGAGCATTCCTTTGCTCCAGAGCCTACAGTGACTCTCTGGACATTACTATGTGAAAGCGAAAGTCACACACACATAGCTACCCACTACTACGGACCATTGCTACTGCCTGCCACTACCTGCTACCTACTGTTACTCTCTGGTCTTGCTCCCTCTCTCACTGTCTTTTCCTGGAAATCTCCTCTGCTCTATGGCAATTTATACCCACTACTTCCTTTCTCCATTTTAGGAAAGTGCTTCCTAGCTCACAGCCCACCTTCCCGAGGGTCTTTGTACTTTACATCCTCTTGGCATGCATGTATGATTGATATCTGACACTCTCTAGGGCACATGTGTTTTCTGCCTACATTGCTAAGTCCTCAGAGGCAGGTAAAGATCTGTTATCTGCTCCTTTTCTTTCTCTCTCTTGTTCTCTGAGCTTTCTCTATAGTGCGGTGCACAAAGGAGATTCTTTGTAAGAAAACCCACCAGTCTTCATTTCCAGTCCTCCACATTTTCCAGCAGAGAGTTCCCTAAGGAAACTGTCCCTTGGGGATCTCACTAGTGCAGGAAAAATCACTTTTTTCTTTCCTTGATTCCCCGCAACACTGCAAATGAGTTGTTAATTACCTGCGACTAAACAATATGACCTATATAGCATAGCTGACTCATCTTCACCTTGTATTCCCTTAGAGTAATAATTTACAGCTTAACATAAAGCCATGTCATGCATCTAATGGATGAGGCTCACATGTAGCACACGTAGGCTTATCTGCAATTACCCTGTTAGCTGCAGTCCACCTCTTTCTCCCGGGCACCATAGAGGAATAACCCTAAATCAAGTAGATTTTTAAAGGAAATGAATAAGGCTGAGAACCGTAGCTCACACTTGTAACCTCAGTCCTTTGAGAGGCCAGGATGGGAGGATTGCTTGAGCCCAGGAGTTTAAGACCAGCCTGGGCAATATGGCAAGACCCTCACCTCTACAAAAAAAATTAAAAATAAGCCAGGCATGGTGGTGTGCACCTGTGGTCCTAGCTACTCAGGAGTCTGAGGTGGTAGGATTTCTAGAGCCCAGGAGGTCGAGGCTGCAGTGAGCCATGTTTACACCATTGCACTCCAGACTGAGCAACAGAGTGAGACCTTTCATCAAAAAATATTAAATAAATAAACAAAGGTAAATGAATGTATCATCATTGGAGACACACATTATGATGGGTCATGGCCATTATAATGAGACCACACACACTCCCTGGTTGGGAATGAGACAGAAGCCACATTTCCACCTCTGTTCAGAAGCCGGCCGGCCCGGACTCCTCTCAGTTCTCATTTACCCTGCGGACCCATCTCTTCTCTTCCTTGAGGGTGCCACTGGGATGATACCTCCTTCAGGAGAGATTCAAGCCTTCTTCTTTTCCCCAGCAACCCATGGGACCCTGTGGCCTCAGCAGAACAACATCAAAATACCAAAAAGGAAGCCCCTCTCTAAATAAGAGATCCAAGTGGCAGGGAAGCTCTCAGTTCTCAATAAGTGTTTTGTGAATGGCTCTCATATTATCTCATTGCTGTTATTCCCACAATCCCAGGGATCTACAGAATGATTTTGCCACCAGATATGACCTAGGTTTATGTTTCTGGGAGGATATGAATTCATATCTAGAAGTCTGGCGTGAACAAACAAGAAACAAAACGAAGCCAAGAGCGGAGTCTCCAATAGGAACAAGATACATCTATCTTCAAAGGCATGTTAGAAGTTGGGAAAATACTTCATCTGAACTAGACAAGTGTGTTAAGAGTGATAAGTAAAATGCACGTGGAGGCAAGTGCATCCCTGGATCTCAGGGGCCTCCCCTACCTATCAGGGGGGCGAGAGGATAGGATAGTGATGTCCTTTGTCTCTGGATATTTAATTATATGTGCTATCACGTTGCTCTGAGGAAGCTCCTGGAAAGCTTCTATGCCAAGGTAGCCACATCTTAGATTCCACAAATTAAGTTGCAGTGTATACTCTAAGCCGCTGCTCACTGACTGTCACTTTGCAACTCCAGGGCAGCTGCATTTTAGTAATAGGTCAAATGATTCACTTTCTATTGTGCTTCCAAAGGTGCCCCAGCTTCTCTTCCCAACGGACAAATGCCACAGATAAGAAAAATTATCGTAATTTTAGCCCAAACAGTCGGTGCCACCGATTTTACAAATAAAGTGAGCAGCTTCTTTTTAAATGAACAAATGCAGGTTTATTTCTCAGGTGATATTCATCCGTGAATGGTCCAGGGAAGGACCTTTCCCCTTGACTCCGTGGCATTACCTCACCACAAGCTCTAAGGCTTCTCCTTTCCATCCTGTGTGGACAGCTAAGACCTCTGTTTTCAATAGCATCTAGAGCAGTGGGACTCAACTGGGGTGATTTCGCTCCCCATCCTCAGGGGAATGTTTGAAGACAGTTTCAGTTGCCACAGTGAGGGAGTGAAGGAGGAGACGGTGATACCAGCATCCGGTGGATAGAGGCTAGAGATGCTGCCCAACCTCCTGCCACGTACAGGGCGTCTCCCGGTTACCATTACCCAGTCCCAAGGGTCAACTCTGTCAAGGCTAAGAAACCCTGGTTCAGAGTAGAAAAGGCCTAGAAAGAGGGGAGCAGACAAATCTGTCTGCTTCCTCACATTAGTCATTGGGAGAGACGCATCTGTCTCTTTGGCAGCCTCTGTGAACTCTATTGCGCACCCTGGTAACATCTCTCAGAGAACAGGGTTGTCAAGGCCTGTGGGAAATGCCTGATGGGATTATCTTCAGCTTGTTGAGCTTCTGAGTTCCTTTCCCTTCATCCTGCCCTCCCGGCCAAGTTCTGTAAGAGAGCTGCCTGCGTTCTAGCTCAGATTTTCTTACTCTGAATTTAGATCTCCAGACCCTGCCTGGCCACGACTCAAATGAAGGCAACAGACCTTCCACGAAGTACACAGAGACTTTTGAAAGCAGGGACAATGACTTTTTGAACTGAGGCCTTGGGGAATGAAGCTCTGGTGGAAATAATGGTTCGTTTCCAGCCCCCTTCCCACACTTTTCATGTGTTAACGACTGCCTTCCTGGTCCTTGGAGCCACCGTGACTGTGTTCCATTTTGTTGTAGAAAACTGAGTGTAGAGTTCTGATGGTTCAAGTGAATGATTAAATAGACATTTCCTACACTGTTGTCTGCCTGGTTTGTGGAAGAAAGGGAGTGAAAGGGAAGACGGACTAAAAAGACGGAACAGTTCTAAAGATTTGTACCTAGCACATAGCAGGCCTTCAATTAATGTTTGTCGAGTGAATGGGTGAATGAACGGGAGGAATTATAAGACTGTGAGCACGGCTAGGTGGCTGGGTCTAGTTTCTTTGTGAAATTCCACTGGGCTTATACAACCTGGCACGTTTCCATCTCAGGAAATAGTCGTGGCAATGGGCTTCAGGCAGATAAATGTAGGATATATATAGGTGGACAAACTAATTACTCTAGGGTCAAGAAATCTGACTTCCACTACTGAGAAATCGTTACATTCTCAAATGTTAGACCTGTAAGAAACTCAAAGTCGTCTTTTCTAGTCCTTTAATTTTTCAAATAAAGACCCAGAGGCTCAGGGTGAAACAAATGTAACTGGCTATGCTCAGATTTTACAACGTTCTCAAAGTCACACTGGTAATTGGTAGAGAGATGTAATCTACAGAAGATTTAATTGCCAAATGGCAAATTTCCAGGAGATTTTTAGTCCAGCTTTGCCCTGTGCATTCCCAGTCTGGTCCCAGTATAGGCCTTCTGCAAGAGGAGATCAGCGCTGAACCAAACTGAGGAAGCAAACTCTGAAACCGTAAACGATCCCGGCCCAGGTTAATTATTTGGCTTTGTCCGTGAGCACGCAGTAGATACATTAGACAACAGAAGTGTCATATCAGCCCAACTGCAAGGACCAGATTTTGAGGCACAACACAGACATCTGGGGATGTTGAAACCGAGGTGCCACAGGTGAAAACATTTCAGAAGTGTTGACACATTGGAGGCAGCAGCCGAGTCCAACTTGCAGGTGAAGTACGGGCTAAAGGCTGTCTCCAGGTTGGACGTGCACAATGACCTCAATCTGTGCATTGTTAACTGGGGGAGCGGAGCGTGCAGGGGTCATTATAACATAACACGGCTTCTGCCATGTGGCATATGTCATGTGCTTTGGTTCTGTTGATGAAACTTGGAATTCCCAGGCTGCTTCCCGCTGGTGAAGTCCCCATCGGCTGCTCTGATTCTGACTATATCGCTATGTGCTTGAACTGTTTGCTCCTTCGAACCTTGGCTTATTTCATCTCTCATGGAATCCTTCCCAGCAGTTTCAATATGGGAGTCATCAGAGAAAAGAAACACAGTCACAGAAACAGATGCCTTGTCCCTGACACACAGTAGATACCTTAAACAACAGATGTTATCACATCGGCCCGACTGCAAGGACCAGCTGATGAGGTAGACCACGGACCTCTGGGGATGCTCAAACCTCAGTGCCGAAAGCTAAAACATTTCAGAAGTATGGATACATTTGCTGTCTCCCATCTTTCTTTAAATTTTACCCATCATCAAGTTTCCTCCAAAATTCTTCTTTCCTCATGAAGCTCTCACTTCATGGTCCAACGCACTGTGATGTTACTCTTTTCTTTAGTCTATACATGCATTTTAGCATAAAATCACACGATTTTTTTCTTTCATTGCTGTGCACTTGGACTCCCTTGATGATGATAACAAAATAAGGATGAGGACCCACGCAGCCCTTGGAAGTTTGCTCTGTGGAAGAGGATCGAGTAGATGTTCCCCGGAAGGCTTGCTTACCCACGATGTCTGCTGGGCCAGTTCCATTCATCTGCAGCCTCGGAGCAGCAGTCCTGCAGTCAGCACTGCAGGAGCCCCTGTCCACCGGAAGATGGGCTCCTTTGATGCCAGTGCCTGATTCTTCTCAGAGTCACAGCTTTGAGTGTCAGCTTTATCTTACTCTTCAGTTCAAATCTGATTGCCTGGCCTAAGAAGTATGCTCAGTAGTTTCAGTGGAAAGATCCCTTACCCCACACTCTAAAAATTATTCTAAGGCCGGGCGCGGTGGCTCACGCCTGTAATCCCAGCACTTTGGGAGGCTGAGGTGGGTGGATCACGAGGTCAAGAGATCGAGACCATCCTGGTCAACATGGTGAAACCCTGTCTCCATTAAAAATACAAAAAATTAGCTGGGCATGGTGGCAGGTGCCTGTAATCCCAGCTACTCGGGAGGCTGAGGCAGGAGAATTGCCTGAACCCAGGAGGCGGAGGCTGCGGTGAGCCGAGATTGCGCCATTGCACTCCAGCCTGGGTAACAAGAGCCAAACTCTGTCTCAAAAAAAAAAAAATTACTTATGTACTTTATGACACTTTGGTCTTATATCCCTTCCTTAGAACAAACCAAAAGCTGTGCTCAGTTAATCTAGCCTATGAGCCGCTCATGGTAGACTGGGACCACTTCCTTTCTCTCTAGTTTTCTATAGATGCAGTTACCAAACTTCATTTGTAACAATTCATGTATCATTATAGGGAGAATTATTTAGGTTTTGACAGATTAAATCCAAGAACCTTATAGTACTTAATATGACTTTAATGAAGTGGATCAGGCAGCCACGTATAACCCAAGTGGTGGGTCCAGGTCTTACACCTAGGTTAGTTGAGACTGACGGGAGACAGTGTGATAGTATAAAGATGGCAGCCTAGTGAGAGGCAGCAGGTGCTCCTGGAAACAGCCAAGTCTCAGCCTGCTAAATGAGGCTCTATAAGAAAAATGATAATTGTCTTCAATTCCTCTCACCTTCCCTTTTCTCTGGTTTTCCCTGTGGTTCAATCAGCCCTCCTCTAGGTCTTGTGTACTCTCTCCATCTTTCCACTATTATTTCCATCAAAACTCCCGTCTGCACCCTCCGCAACAAAAATGCTCCCTGGCATCAAGCTATATGTGAAAAGGTAATTTATCAACGACAATTTTCATTAGCTTAATGCACTGCCCTCCCATATAAGCAAAGCCTTACTTTATTGAAATAAAGCTACTAAGAGTGAAGGATAAGATATCACAAAAATATCAAACTAGTGAGAGATCCTTGGGGTATCATACTATAGACTGATAATTCTCAGTCAGGGGGCTCAGGGGTGCTTTTTAGCAATACAAATATTAACACCTCTATGACCCATTGCTGAGTTAAGAATCACTGTGAGGCCAGGTGTGGTGTCTTATGCCTATAATCCCAGTGCTTTGGGATGCCAAGGCAGGAGGATCACATGAGGCCAAGAGTTCAAGACCAGCCTGGGCAACACAGCAAGACCCTGTCCTTACAATTTGTGTGTGTGTGTGTGTGTGGTGGCATGCACCTGTAGTCCCAGCTACTCAGGAGGCTAAGGCGGGAGGATAGCTTAAACCCAGGAGTTCAAGGCTCCAGTGAGCTAGGATCACGCCACTGCACTCCAGCCTGGGTGACAGAGTGAGACTCTATCGCTTAAAAAATAAATCACCATGTAACATGGGACATATTTGAAAAGAACACATCACCTACAAACATGTAACTATTGTGGAAATCTGAGGTCTTCTGATGCAAATAACCGCCTTTATAGAAGGAAAGGAAATGAAGTGCCTCTTACGTGTCAAACAAGCTAGGTATTTCTCCCATCCAATCCTTATCCTATAAGGTGGTATCATTTTGACCCTAGCACCATCACCATCACCATTTTATAGAGGAGTAAACAGGTTCTGAGAGGTTAAGCAACTCACCGAGGACCACATAACCAGCAGGTTAACCGGAAGTCTAACCCAAGTCTATCACAACCCATACTATTTCTGAAAGAGTACGAGAATGTGCAAAAATAATGCTGTATGAATATTGACAATCATCTTCTTCTTTGTATTAAAATATGAGGATTTGTTGGGAGGTTCAGCTTCATTGCTCATGAAGATATTCAGCCGTCTGCGTGGAGGATGGCTCCTCTCCCTGGAGGAGACAGCAATGATTGCTCAATTATGCTCAGGCCTTCCCTGATGCACAGAGGGGCTGGCAGTGCCAGTGCAAGCCTCTTCCTAACTCGCTGTGAGGACACTGCCTTGCGCTCACGCAGCTCCTTGGAGCTATCCTCAAGGCTTCACATGTAGTCTGTAATCTGATGAGACGGAAGTCTTTACCAGATGATGCAAAATGTTTCCTGAGACCAGATTATCTTCCTTATTGCTGGCCCCAACTACACCTGGAAAGAACAGATTTAATTACTAAATCTTCCTGAGTCCACTGATGTTGAGAACTAGATTGCCTGTGGTTCCGGTCGCTTTGCCATGACCCACCACACTGCTTTCATATAGTCAATCTATCATTATTTCCTATTTTGATTTCTTTCCTTATATGTAAGTACTTCCTTTAGTCGTTACGCCTTCGGCAGCCCTCTTTTATTTTTAACAATCAAATATTTCATCCGATCTGAAATTAATTTTTAGTATATTCTATGAGGTAACTATTATTTTTTAGTGATTTCCTAATACTATTAGTTAATTAATTAATCTTTACCACCACTGACTTTTAAAAATATTTTATTATATATATATAATTTTTTTTACATATACTTATATCTGTTTCTGAACTTTTGATAACCTTTGAGACCTACAGTTGCAGCCGGAAATATACAGAAAGGAAAATGTTATGTGCAGATACATTCACCCAGCCATTCTCTGGAGATGGGTAAAAAAGAACAAAATGGAGGGAAAAATTAGAAATTATTAGTGAATAATTAGAAAGGAGTTATCAGTTTAATAAATAAATAAACCCTTGTAAGAAACCTTCCTGGTGCAAATTAGGGTATTACCATTCTCCTTTAATGAACAAGGAGTGAACAGGTAGATACAATCTGGATAAAGATGGGTAAATGTCAGGGAATTCTTGCATCCATTCAATTTCTCTCCCTACCTCATCCATTTATGAGCCAGAGTAGTCTACTTACCTACTTTCAGGGCCAAGCCTGAGCATACTACGAACAGAGTTCCTGCGAAACTTCTATTGGGAGTCCCTGTCTAAACGGTACACGCTTCATCTAGTAACTACTTCACAAAAAGCAGTTATTACATTGCCTGCCTTTATCAGTCTGCTACGGCTACCGTCACAAAATACCACAGACTGCGTGGCTTAA